TATATATATATAATATTATATAGACATACACGCGCCATCAGAAAACACAGCTAGACGCTTGCTGGGAGCAAAGCTTGATTCAGGTCGCTCTGGAATCGAACAACCTATTAAGCCCCGGCAGCACCCAGCAATTGTGATTTCCAGCCCGGAGTCGCGCGAAGCTACCGTAGAGAGCCACCGGTGCCAAACCAAGCAAATCGTAACCGTAATCCCCCGACCTGAATACCCGAGGACATAAATCGGAACGAAGTGCTGACTGCAGCGGGGGTCGGCGAGTCCTTTACCAAGTTCAGCCCAAGTCTCAGAAATCGGGGCTGCGTGTAGGGTAGACCCCGGGTCAATGAAAACTCTTTGTTTAGGACCTCTCTGTTAGGATCTCAAATATAATCACTTTTGAGGTAGGGGGTGGGATTCATAAGGCCTCTACATCATCGAACAGTGTTGCAGGGGAGTGGGCCTTTCTGCTTTAAAGCTTGTTGGTGCTGGCGTGGCTTAGCGGTACGCTTGCAGGATCTTGGCATTTGGCATGTTCAGCCCCACCGCCCTAATGTTGGGATTCTCCTAAATTTAGACTTTAAACCGTCCCAGCGGCTGCTTCCGACAAATATATATATATATAATATATATATATGTGTGTGTGTGTGTGTGCGTGTTTCTATTTGTTTATTTGTTCGTTTATATGTATAACAACATCTCCTTATAGTCCCGACCCGAGATAATGCTACTGGAAGAATATACCTCAAATCTCCGTCTGATTAGTTCTACGTAATCATGCGTTGAGACCCCTATACCAAAGCCACTGTAGTAACCCTTATTGAAAGTGACCCCTTAAAGGCCAGGCCCCCATTTTCCTACGTCCCCGAAGATTCCGTGGAGGATTTGTGTTCTAGCACTCTGGGGGTCTGATTCAGCGGAGCTATAGTGCTTAGGTATGTTCAGGGTGTCGGGTTTAGGGTGTAGGGTTCAGGGGTCGGAATATCTGTCAGCTAGGCTCCTATTAAAGTCAGCACTAGGCTCCTACTAATTAGGCTTGCTTACTATAGTCATAGCCTTATATCTGTTCATAGGACCCCCAGGTTGGGATTCACTGTGCTCTAGGGTTTGACCTAGGCTTCAGAGCTTCGGGATTAGCCCGGCGACCCATAAGTTTTGCAATTAGATCCCCTAATGTAGGGGCCTGAATCATTACCAATACTATTTCGGGGGGGTTCCTTATTATCATAATAGTATGGTGGGCCCCAAACCCTATTCAAAATTTATCAAAAGGCCGCTATATCAACAAAGAAGCCATCGCCATGAGCTTCTCCACCGTTCTACATTTAAGCTCCCACGCCCCCCTCCTTGAATCGGTTAGAGAAGGCCCGGAAGAAGGCGCCACCTGTACAGTTGAGAGGAAGACGGCCAATCCCAAACTAAAATCCCTAGCTTTTCAATCCTTCGAAAGTCAAAGTCAAAGGATTCAACAACTAGGTACTTGGGTTTAGGACAGTAGTTCTGTACTCCCTTAAGTTACTGTCTCTGTTTGGGGTCTGGGACTGTATTGGTGAAGTACTACCATCGTAAAGGGAATGAATCCTCAGCCAGCCATCAGAAACGCAGGAAATTTTTCGAGTAGGAAAATTGGCATCATGGAGACGAAAAAGATAGGAACGAAATTGCACAGTAGGAAAAATCAGACAAACGATCAGCAAAATAAGGCATTGGTATCTATAAGCGTAGATCTTGACCACGGACTGCTGAAAACATGTCGACATACCCCGAACACGCAGACAACCAGGTAGAATGAAATATCTAGCAATGCTTTGCTCAACGGAGAGAGGATGTGCACAGGCCTCACATTCATGGCAAATTTTAAGACTCTAGGAGCATTTGGGAGCAGTTTCGGCATGCTACTCTCAAGTCCACTTGCTCGACTTCTTTTGGGGGGATCTGGACCAGAGTGGTTCCTGGCCGACGGTTCCGAAGCCCTAGGATTTGCCTATTTTTGTCATGTTTTCTCTATGTTTTCCTAGTCTTCCCTATTTCTCCGAAGCGTTTTCTGACTTTTCCTAGGGAAAATAGGAATAAATAAGGAAAGCCGGCTGAAAAATGCAGTCTGCGCCTCCCTCCCTCCTGGCCCCCCGCAACCGTCCGCTGTGGTGGGTGGGACGCGAAGGGGGGAAGGGAGGAAGGCGGGGCCTGACGGGATGGAGGCTTGGCGTGCTGAAAGCTCCCGGGGCTTGGTCCTTGGTGCTCCGGCAATTTTCTTTGCCGCAGCTGTCGAGAATCTATTTTCTGCTGGTCTGAGAGTTCTCGGCCCTGAGCATTTGCATTTGTGAGACGACGTCCGTCCTCGCCAGCTTGAGATGATTGCCACCATTCTTGTGGCTATGGTCGTGAAGGTTTCCGGCGTACAGCGGCCTCCCTGCCCCCTTGCGCCGAACAGGCATCTCGGTGCTTTGTGTGCTCGGCTCAATCCTCAGTGAGGTGAGCACTGCACAGTTTGGAGAGCACCAAAGCACACACGCATCACCGCCTCACTCTCAAGCCAAGGTTACCGAGTCGACTGCCATGAAGACTTGCGTGAACTTCAGGATGTGATCCAGGCACGGCTGTTTTGCTGCTTTGTCCCTTGAGCTGCTCCTTTGCAACTTGAGCATCCCGTTTTGGCTTTGGAAGGTTTGTGGCGACGATTGCCAGACGGTAGCTCGCGCACCGGACTCCCTCAACCTTGGTGCTCCGACAATTTCTGCGTTCCAGTGTGCGACGAGGAGCCAAGCGAAACTGTCCTTCGGCATTTGGAAAGCAACTACTCGACACAATGGCTGTGCTTGCGTGACACTCTCATATAAGGTCAGTCCGTGCTGTTCTGGTGCGGTTCGCAAGCTTCACAGATTCCTGTGCATCGCAAGGCATCGGTGCAGGACTCGGAGTCGTGCGCCGCGACATAAAGCCCGCCAACATCTTCGTCATGTGGTATTTTGACCGTGCGCGCGATGCTATTGCAAACTTGGGGACTTTGAAACTGCGGCGGGGCTGCCGTCCCCTAGCACCCGTCTCCAGCAGAGAGCCGGTGCGAGAGGGTACTGTGCACCTGAGATGATCAACAGTGCTAAGGCATATGCGCAAACATGTGGAGCGTTGGCATCGTGATCTATGAGGCCCTGCATGGCCGTTTGCCATGGTTCGGAAAACTAAGCGCATTTGAAGTGGAGCAGAAGATGCTCCGTGGGCCCCATTTTTTGGCAGCTGAATGTCAAGCTGTCCAAACAGGCAGTGCAGCTCCTGCAAAAAATGTTGCAGAGGAAGCCTGAGCGACGCATCAGGGCCGGTGTCACTTTGGCACACCCGTGGGTGTTGGCTTCAGCTTGAAAATGCGTCTTCGGTTATGAGCGTTCCCGCAAATGGGGAGTACCGCTCTTAATTGGAGAGATTTCCAAGTAGCGGCACATCTCTCTGATGGCGAATGGGTTCCGAGAAGAAGGCAGAGTTGCAAACCTTTCGTTTATATAAACTCAGTATTTTCTATTTTAATTCGTAGTCCGAAATCTGCCCTATATCAAATCCTACTCCAAATCCTATTTTTTGTTGAATTACTCAATTGTCTGAACTCCTCGATGCTGGCCAAGAGATTTTTACTAGACTATTATCAGTACTGTAGGTTTGTTTTTGGGTGGTTTATGTTTATTTTGCACTTGTCTCAGTGAAATCCTTAAACACTCCAAATGAAAGCCCACAAACCCAAACCCCCAATCCCTAAGTCTGATGGGGGTTTGATACGGGCAGTTGTCGAAGACGAATATTAGCGGTGACCTGTAACGCGATAGAGGACGCCGAAAAGACGACACCCCAAATACAGCAATGTTGCCGTGGTAACCTTAGCTCCCTGTTTCGTTCAAAGGGGCCACAGGGGTGCTCGGCAGTTCTGGGTTAAATAAGGGTGTCGAGGTGTTCGGGATGGAAGTTGCAAATTCGACGACGTCGCAGGTTGGACAGAACGATACCCGAACGATGCCCAAAACGTATCCCCGAATGGCCTAGATAGGCTTGTGGCCGTTCGTGTACTGTCTCAGTACGATCCCTGGAGCAGAAGCCCGAAAGCCCCGAATGTAAAGACTGCAGTCATCTCTGAACTTTCCTAACCCAAGACGCTTAAACCCCACGAGACCGACTCTCCGCTTCACAAAAGCCTCGCATGCTTTCCGAAACCAGTTTTTGATGACTGCACGGTGTTGTGGACCCAGCCGAAATGCTAAGCAGACAAAGCCAGAAACCCAAACGGCCCAAGGACCTCAAAAAGCCCCAAGAGGCCCCAACCCAGGGCCACAACTTTGAATGCCGCAGGTGCTATACTGTAATTTCCTATACTCTAAACCACTGCATCGTTCGATCCCGTATGCTTCAAGCTGCAAACACTGCAAAGCGACGGGGACGCCTTACCATTTAATCCGAGGACATAGCTGGCATAAACAAACACTTTGAAGCCACTCTAGACCCGAAGCCTTGAACTTGAAATCGACTCCATTCCCGTAAACCCTAGAGCTGCTAAGGTTCCTAACGCCAAAGACACAGGAACCAAAATACCAGAGGACACGGCTGAGCCACTTCAGCAACCCCCCAAAACCACGCACGACAGCAGACGTGATACTCATGATCGAAAGCTTTGAAACCTAATCCTAAAGCCTGAGGGTTCACGCCGCGGGAAACATGAAACAATCAGATGCTGAGGCGGGGACGGCCAACCGGCCAGGGATGCAACGATGAGCCATCCGAGAGGTTTGGCTTTGGATGAGGCCTCAGGGTTTAGGGTTCATGCAAAGTTTAGGGTTTTCGGGACCTCGGAAGGGAAAAGTTTGGGGTTTGGTTTTTTAACTGCTCAACGGAGTCGGGAGACGGTTTCCAGTTGTAAATTTGGGAGTGCATTCAGCATTTTTCCGGAATGACACAATAGGGCATTAAGATCTGTTTAGTGCTTTGTGCGTGTGTTTGTGTGTGGGTGCTGGTATGCTTCTTTCTTGGGCGTGTAGAATTTGAGGGTATTTGGGTTTGTGGTGGTTGGTTAGTGGTTTGTTTTTTGCTTTAGGGTCTTGATTTGGCTGACCAGTCACCACGCAGGCGGTTTGCACTCAAATAAGGTGCTGGACACCTCCCTCTCTCCCATACCCTCTCCTTCTCTCTCTCTCTCTCTGCCTCTCGCGCTTTCCCGCCCTGCGCCTCCAGCCCTTGCATACCTTGACATCGGCATCCTAGATTGCAAAAGTCCAAGTACCATGATCACGGCAATGCCAAAGCTCTGTTTCACCTTCGTTTAACTCCAGGCAAATGCACACCTCTACGTCACCGACTCGGAGAATCATGTGAGCCGTGGCTGAATGGGGATCCAGGTTCTCTACCAGGCTGTAGCACATAATTAACAGAATCGCAAAACGGTAAGCTTTTGGGTTCTTACTTTGATGTACCAATGTACTGTAAGTGAGTAACATTCGTGTATGGGAGTAGCAGTCTGAAAATCTAAACGGTTATCATTATACTATTAAACGCGGCTAGCATGCCACGAAGAATCCAATCTGTTGTTTCCATGGTTTCTGGGATCGGAATCATTCGTAACAGTATCTCATAGTCCGTTTGTATCGTATCATCAACGCCTATTCTAGTTATGAGTAATTCTGGACACTAGGGTCCCCGTTTAGGTCCCCCAAATAGTGCGGCATTCCTATAAAGAGGACCACAACAAGGACCCTAATTTAGAGAACTACCCTTATGAAGGCGACTGTATGAAGCTAAAGCCCTGAGGCTTGGCTTTCGGCCGTAGGAGCTGCTGCTCTGAAGCTTTGGAGCTCCGTGGGTCCACGTTTTTCATGTTTTGGGTTTAGGATAGGGCCGGGTAGGGTAGGTGGCATATACTCAGGGTAAGGAGCTTCGAAGGTTTGTAGACCCCTGACGCCGGAAGGCTGGACTCAGTGCATTCAGCTTCGGTTGGGCTTAGAGGACTTTGGGTATCACTCTGTTCTACTCCAGGCTTACAGTATGGTTTTGGTCAGTGCGGATTGGGCTCCCACTGCCCAAAGAACAGCCCCCTAATTGTTGCAAAAATCCTCAACCCCGCACCGCTGGAATCCTCAACCCCCTGCGGTGACGAATAGCCCTAAAGCAGGTTGAAATGAAGCCAAATGCCTTGAGCCGTAAAGAGCTCTAGAAGCCCCTGAACCCTAAAACCCCCAAGCGCTCGGGCCCTGAACCCTAAAGCCGTAAATGCCCTTGCACCCTCACTTCAAGCCCTCAACACCCAACTCAGGATCCGCCGAATCAAGTCCCTTTGTCTGCAGGGTCTGAACCCGGAGTTTTTCCGTCTGCCACCAAATCCTCCAGTCCTGAACATGCGTTGTAGGCAGGTCCACAAGTATCCACTGGTTTAGGGTCTTGCAAGTTAGGCTTTCGGGCTTTGGGGTGCAAGTGTTCAGGATTTGACACTAGAGGGCTTAGGATCTGGGGTTCGGGATTTATTTAGGTTGAGGTTGTTATGGGTTAAGGCTTAGGGTTCCTGCTAGTGCGTCAGGGATCTTACCACTCCGCATGAAACGCCGAACTTGCTAGGTCCCGCTGCTTAAGATATAGCCTAGGGGCATGTTATACTGTAAACGTAACTTAAGGAGCCCACGACATCTTAAAATTACTTGTGCTTGTTTAGGCCCCTATGTTAGTTTCGGGCTCCGGCTCTTTCGGGGTTCAGGGCATGGGGCTGGAGCCTACGAGCCACTCTTCTTGGATTTCGGGAAGCACTGCTGTTTGTTTTGGAGTCGGGTTTTTGTAAGATGAATCCTGATAGTTGCGATAGCTTTTTTGAGGTGTGGCGAGTCCGTGTGCCAGTTGGGGAAACTCCAAGACACTGCATCTGCGAGGTGGTGGGGTGCTAGTTCGGCTAGTCTGAATCTTCGTCCCTTTCCCGTGCCCTTGCTACAGACAAGCTGGGCAAGGTAAGGGTAAATCCACAACCTGTCCTTTGTAACCGGACCCATTATCCCCTTGAGAGGGGGCAGGCTGACCAAGGTGTTGCTTTTTGCTTTAATCCCCAGCGCAGTGAAGTTTATCGGGGCCACACCCTGAATCCTAAGATAGAAGCTTAAATAATTGCCAGTAGTTTTTTTTTTTTTTTTTTTTTNNTCCTTATTATAGTTATAGTATAATGCCCCAAAACCCTATTCTAACCATTAAGGCCCCTACATTAAGCAGTTGTTCCCCGCCATTGCGTTATGCCGCGCCTCCTCTTCTGCGTCCGGCTCAGGCTTGGATCCAACAGGCTCACAGGCAACTTGGCTTCCTTGGTATCTTAAAAAAGACCACCCAAACCGTATTGAAAGTGTTATTATTGTGCGTTAGTATACTGACTACAACATTGTGACTCCTAAGCTCGAGTGAAATTCCTATTCTAGTCCACTCTAGCAGATCAGATCGCATGGGAACCGTTCAGCCCATAGTAGCCATAGCATGTATCACTGTTTGCACTACAGCCCGGACCTTTGAGTAAACTAGACCGTCCAAAACCCCAAAGCCCAGAGAAGCTCTACTCCTAGTCCCACCCAGACCCCCAACACCTGTGAACATGCGTTTTGCGGTGAGTGTATACCGGGCTCCTTTGAGCATTGGTTGATGTGTCCCTTGGGGTATTAGCTGTTTGGGGGAATCCAGTCTGTAAAAAACAATGATACATATACGGTGTCGGGGCTTGGCTTTGTGGACCAACACCGAAGACGCGCAATAAGCTAGGCATTACTAACAGGGCCACGGGTGTTATTGGACTTAGCAGAGAGTTAGTTGTAAGTTAAGGAAGTTAGAAGGAACTTATTTTGCAACCAAAATTTGTTCCGGATAACTCCCGAATAACTTCCGGATAAGTTTTTTGGTTTCGTAATCAACAAATTTTTGAAAATGCTCGACAAGCAATATTTCTCGCAGTTGTGCTGATTATATATATATATATATATTATAACTGCGGCTCGACCGCCACAACTTGCCGCGCACGTTTGTCCGGGGTGAGACTCTGTGAGACAGTGCTTGCCGCTCAACCGTCGTTTTGTACATGCGGCTGAACCGCAGTGGGGGCCACTCAGCTTGGCATGTCCATCGCTGCTGCTTCCGCCTTTTGGTACTCCTCAATGTACCAGCGCATCTTTTTGTTATGCTTTTCTGACATCAAATGTTGACCATCGATTTTGGCGTTGCAAATTATGCATGTGTCGCCTTGTCGCCAGAAGGTCAACGGCAGCAGGACCCTTGGGGCTTGCGGATCAACCGATGCAGAGCTCGAGCTGGATGAAGCGGCTGCTGCTGCAAACCCCGTTGGTCGCGGCTCAACCGCTGCTGCTGCTACAGACTCCGTTGGTCGCGGTTCAACCGCTGCTGCTGCTGCTGCTGCTGACTCCGTTGGTCGCGGCTCAACCGCTGCTGCTGCTGCAGACACCGTTGCTCGCGCCTCAACAGCTGCATCAGCTGGCGGCTCAACCGCAGGCACTGCTGGCGGCTCAACCGCAGCTTCTGGTTTTGGCGGCGGTGGCGGATCCGCCGAGGGCGTGCTCCTCCTCCCTCACCCTCTTCCTCACCAAGACCTCCTCCAAGGAGGCCTTGGTCAGCTCCCAGCTCAAGCGGCCCCACCGCGCTGCGCGCTCCACCGCAGCCTTTGATAAGAAGTCATTCTTGTCCGCCTGAGTCGTGGACTCAGGCCACTCCCCCAGCTGCCTGCGCACCATCGTGTTGGTGGCCGCGCAAAGCAAACAGTGCTTTTTGCTGAAGCGGCTGAGGTCCACCGCCTTCGGCATCGGCTTGCCGCACAGGCAGCAATTTTGCGGCTCAACCGCACCTTTGCTGGGGGAGGGCTGCGGCTCAACCTCGGCTGAGGAGG